AGTAACAAGTCGCTGAGGGAGCGTGGAAAACAAGGCATCATCATCGGCAAGAACGATGAAATGAAGGGCTACAGGGTTTATTTGCCAAGATAGAAGACCGTCATCGTCACTCAGCACGTTCGAAACGTGGAGACACTGACCAAGGAGCAGAATGCGCTGTTACGTCATGTGCATCCAACCGTGGAAGATAGAGAAATTGGCAAGCGTGTTGGATGTGCGTCGATGTATAACCCAATACCGATTCCAAGAGAAAAAAAACAAGGGACGAGGACAAAGAAAACCCTGGACGCGCGATGCTCACATGACCGGGACAACGGCGCAAAAGGCACGCAGAAACGATGAAGAAAGTAACCGGCCTGGTGAAGAGATTAATAGCGTGCGGGAGGCGAACCCGAAGAATTATGGGCAAGCCATGAAGAGTGAGAAGAGGGAAAAGAGCTTACTGCAATGTCGGAAAAGCTGCAAGCGCTTGAAGACAATGGAGTTTGGTTGATCGTAGTGCCACCAAATAAAAGTCACGTGCTGCACACAAAATGGGTCTTTAAGACCAAAACGGACGCTGATGGAGCTATTGAGCGATTCAAGGCAAGATTGGTTGCCTGTGGCAATGAGCAGATGTATGGCGTTGACTATGGTCTTACGTTTGCTGCTGTTATGGAGTTGAGCACGGCGAAGGTAATTCTTGTGCTTGCGTTGCGTTTGGGGGTACCGGCGAGACACGGGGATACTCTCAACGCGTACGTGAAGGCTGATAACGGGGAGCACTTGGATATATACTTGGCGATTCCACAGGGAATGAAGATCCGAGATGGCGCCCTGCGCCAACTTGGCGTACAAGACAAATCGTACTTATCGCTACAGCCGAAGAAGTCTCTCTATGGGCTCAAGCAGGCGGGCCGTCTGTGGAGCAAATTGCTACACACCAGGCTGGAGAAGGGTGGATTCACGCAGTGTGAAACCGATATTTGCTTGTATTGTAAGCGCCAGGGAGACGATGTGACGATTGTTGGCGTTTACGTGGACGAAATACTAGTCACAGCGTCCAGTCCGAGAATTGTAGAGCTGTTTTTTGAGGCGATGGCATGTTTATCGATCAAAGATTTGGGCGAGGTTCGCAAGTTTCTCGGTATGCGAATTTGTTTGGAGGACAAAAAGACGTGCACAGTGGATCAGCAAGCGACTATTGAAGAAATGCTTGATATTCATGGTATATAGGAGGCAAATGGTGTTCGTGCGCCTATCAGTGAAGAAGCTAATTATGTGGAAAATAACCTTGTGTTACTGACAACGGTACCGAAACAAAGAGGTGTACCAACGATTCGCGACTTTCAGTCGCTTGTGGGGAGCTTACTTTGGATTTCAAGATGTTCACGTCCGGATATCAGCTTTGCAGTTCACAAGGCCACGCGGCGCACTCATCAATCTACTATGAGTGACTGGAAGCTGACAAAGAGAGTCGCAAGATACTTAAAAGAGACTAAGAACCTCAAGCTCAAGATTATTCTTTTTTAGAAATGAAGGAAACAAGATCAATTTGGCGAGTTGGAGCGACTCGGACTATGCGGCTGATAAGGTGAACCGAAAGTCTGTCACAGGCGGAGTTTTAACTATGAACGGTGCTATTGTGCAGTGGGTGTACAAAAAGCAGACCGGGGTGTCGCTATCGACAATGGAGGCGGACTTTGTGTCGGCCTCGCACGTTGGGAAAGAATTGCTAGGACTGAGGGAGCTAATGCGTGATATTGGATTTTGAGTGGAGGCCCCAATGTCAATGCTCAGGGACAACTAGGCTGCTATCATACAGCTTAGGACTGAAGGAAGTATGTCGAGTGTCAAGCACGTTGATGTGCGCATGGAGTTTACATGCGATTATGCGAGGAATGACATCGTGAAACCAATGTTTGTGGAATCGAGCATTATGAAGGAGGACTTGCTGACGAAATTGTTGCCGGCGCCAAGGATTGCAGAACTACAAAAGCTGTTTGATTTGCTGTAGACATCGAGTGTGGGCGAGTGTGCGACGACCGAGGAGGAGTTTTGGCGAAAATGCAAGATGGTGAGAGTTTGACGAAGTTCGGCCGACCACTCTCGGCAGGAAGATGCAGCCACAATCGGTTCATAAAATGGTTGGATGGTAGAGAGCGTAAGAAACATTGTTTGTAGGATGTTCAAACAAATATCACTTCAACTTTCAAAGCATCCTCTGTACATATAAAGTCTAATAACCAGTTGCGGGCGCAGACGCGAGATACGAGGGCGTAAACGCGTCCTCGTATCATTGGTCGCGGCCGTAAACACAGTCAATTGGTGATAATGTTGTTGATATTAATGTTTTTGCTTTCGTTGGTGTTGTATAAGTTGCTGTTTTGATAATGCTGCTGATTTTGCTGCTGATGTTGCTGCTGCTTGTATTGTTGTAGGGTGCTGTGGTTGCTGTTGTTGTTGTTCTGTTTATGATGCTACTGTTGTTGCTACTTCTGTTGTTGTAGGCGCTGCGGTTACTGTTGTTGTTGGTGTTGTCGGTTTTGCTGGTTCTGTTGCAGCTGCAAGAACCAGTTGTTGCAGTCGATAAGGCGCGTGCACGAACGCCCGCATCACGCGCGTGCTGGTGCTCAGTGAATGACAGTGTACGTGTGTGTGTAGCTATAATAAGACGAGTATGGTGCTGCTTCTACCGAGCTGCTTTTAAGATTGGTGACACGGTTTAATATAGCGATGAAATTTAAGCAACTTGCACTCTGAATTGCCAGCACCTACTGTGAGGGGATGAGTAGATTGTCTCGTGCTCATACAAATTGCGTTGAGAATCACCACAACCAGAAACAGAACTTGTATAGATGTGCTGCGTTGAGTATTTTAGGACGTGGGCATTTTTTTATTTTCCAATTATCTGGGGCATTTCTTTATTCTCGTGATTAAATGGGGCATTTTTATTCTCCCATAAAAATAACATGTGCTGATAAAATAGTATTAGTCTTAAACTATCATAATGTGAAATAATGACCTACACTTGTCTATTATGTACTTTATTCCATTTTAACGTCATACCTACTTCATGTACCTTTCATGCAACAAATATGGCTTATACAACATGTGACGATGAGACTCTAGGCTCTCTTGTTTTTAGTTCCTTACACTTCGACGTAACAATACCTTGATCAACAGCCAGTATTCACGACTTCCCATCAACCTCGACACCTATAAGCCGACTGTCATCTGGATACATATTCCGACAATTATTGTCCTTAAAGAAAGTGTAATTATTCTGGAAATTAATACCGTGATAATTTATTAGCCCTACATTGTAACGGGGCACCGACGACTACGTACTGATCAACCAGTACGGAGTTTACTATCACTGACTGTAGTGATAGTCAGTGCCCAGCTAGGTGTATAACTACACAGAGGAAGATAGAACGACTAAGGTGAAAGACTCTAGTCGTAGAAAAAGTAAAACTGTTATTTAATATAATTGATTTCTATAATTCGTGTATCTCTGTTTGTCCTGACTTAATTATACTAATGTAACTAAATGTATGATGACGTCTACCCACCACCCATTGCGCGCGTCTAGCAGCGATTGGGGGGTTGACATCATCGCGATATCTACCAATGAGTAGACTCTTCGGTCATCCCAACAATATCACCATGCTTGTGATACTGTTGAAAGAATATTCAACGTAATATTCTTTATTATCATTTTATCCTTTGTGACAATATCATGTTTCGGGCTACCCCGTTACAGTCACTGAAAGTATATCACGTTGCGTTGTGATCTTGTAAGAGAAACGTTGAATGTAACATCTCCGATATTCCCAAACCTTATAACGATAAGATTATGGAACAGGTTCGCCCCGTTGCAATGTAGGCGCCGGTTGCTAGGCAATATTGGAAAGGTGCTCGCCTTATTTTTAGCTTATCTTTGGTGATTTGAGATCGCAATGCCCATTATCTGGGATCAGTCCAAATAATCATAACATTCTAAACAATTCGATAGTGATGTATGACGATCATGACGTGCCATAAGCTAGCCCGATATGCCCTGTCACACTAAAAATGTTACGTCGTCCCCGCACTAGTATACAGCATATCCCACCGCGTTGTTGACTTCACAAGCCGCATCTTCACTTGGTTGTAGCGAGGACACTGGACTCACACCGAGTTGTTTCAAACTATCGTTCATTATGCGCATACAAGTCCTACCTACTACACGTCCCTCCCAAACACCAGATTTGCATATACCACTTAGAACTATGAGTCCAACGAGACTATACACGTCGTCGTGTTTGCGATCCTCGGACTGAGTCTTCCTCAATGGCTGTCACTGTCGCACCATCGTGACCAACTGGGACCAGCTGCCTCAAATATCAGGCACTATCACACCTATCATACAACTGACGATCGTTTCTCGGTCACCACTACAGCTGCCACACAAGTGACTATCGTTTCTCGACTGCTTATTTCGACACACTTCGCACATTGAGCTTGTCAGACTTCCACCTTATCAATCTTGTGGTGATAGAGCGAGGAATAGATGGATGGCGGTGCTGAGACTTCACCTCATCGCATTGGCATGTCGCTTTAAAAGTTCCGCAAGGTTGCCAATTGCCACTTCGAACGTCACACGGTTGTCGACGAATTGGAAACCCCTTTCGGAAGTAATAACTTGTGAAAGGGCGCACCGATATTCAAAACTTAGGCACTTTTTCGTGAGATCCCATCAGTTACTAAAGTGCAAGTAAACAACATTCATTTTCTGACATTAGTATCTGCTATTCAACTCTTGTCGCGTCATGATCCTGCGAGCCACAGGATAGGTACGCCTTGAGCGAGGCGAGCATTGCTCTACCATAGAAAAGTTACAGGCGCTAGAAATCAGGAGCAATCGATATGGGGAACGAGAAGTATTGATGGTGGTCACAAAATCGCAAGAGTACTGAAGTCATCGGTGGTGCTGCAAGTCTACAAACCTTGCTTCGTCTGCAATGCTACCACGATGATCAACCCATGACAAACCGGGTCACTTGGTTCTGACGAATGATCTCTTCCAGAGCATCGACCTTGTCGTATAAGCCGAATTGGCCCCCTGTGTGTACGAACAAAATGTCTTTCCCCACGAACCTCTTCAAGAACAAACAAAAGTGACAAAATTAGCCGAGAAAGATACGCCACTATGATTTGCATAGGACGCCGTACCTCCGGTGCCTCATTGAGCTCTCTAATGAGATGGAAGAGTGCTTTGCCTGAGTAGACAGGATCCAAGAGCACCCCGGTTTCGCGGCTCACGTGATAAATAAACTCTAACTCGCTCTTGGTGCTGCGGGCGTAGCCCTTGCCCTGCGCGTTCGTAACTTGAAGAAACTGGCGAGACGAAATTTCGGGCGGCGCTCCCATCGCGGGCAGGATCTCGTAATCGATATGGTTGTAAAAGTACTCCTCATTATCACACACGATGTACGCGTGCACTGCATCGTCACCACAGATTCATACACGCACACGAGTGAGCCGCTTCATTGGGGATCCACCCCGGGCAAGCGGGCATACCTGGAACGTTACTATCATAGCTCAGGGCTTCAGTCGGGAAAGCTCTAGCAAAGAGGTACGAGCCGAGGCCAATTCCAGCTGCAGTTCCTCCGCTTCCACACGCGAAAGCCATATCCGTAATCGACAGGTCGTGCTCCTATCCACCGTCAAAAATCATTTCAGTTCAGCTGTATCGATGTGGACAGTGAGACAACTGCACGGACCTCAAGTTGGTTGTTGATCTCGTCGATGGCTTGGACGTAACCCCACGTGCCCAGACCATTGCTTCCTCCAACTGGGATAGCGTACGGCCGGCGATCTTTTTCCCTCAAGCGATCGCAAGTTTGCTGAACACAACACAATATCGTTTAATGAGCTTTCGCCTTGCACAAACGTGTTGTACGGCAAGACTTGGAGCTGGTTCGACCTGAATCATAGCTTCGCTTCCATATTTGCCGTACTCCTGCCGAGACATTTGAATCAGGTTGGCGTCGAGTAACCTATCCCATCCCCACAACGACAGAAACTTAGTGCTCGTATACCTTTTTAGACCTTGCGTCCAACCGTACAACTCACTTACCGGTCAAACAGCAGGTTGCCCACTAGTTGAGGATCTTTGTCCGGCTCGTTCGAACGCAAGAGCAAAAACGAGTCCATTCCAAGCAGCCTCGCGACCGCAGCAGTAGCTCTGCAGTGGTTACTCTGCGTGCCGCCGCACGTGACGACGCAGTCCGCGTTCTGCTCCAGCGCTTGGGCCAAGAGGAACTCGAGTTTGCGGATCTTGTTCCCAGACGTCTCCATCCCACTGAAATCGTCGCGCTTGATGAACATGCGTACGCCCTCTGGAAGTGCCGGGGGTGCGAAGGGGAAGATCGGCGTCGGGAAGTGGCCGAGGCGCAGTTTGTGCGCTGGGGGCCGACGCAGCGCACGCGCCCATGCCGGCGGGTGGAATGGGGCCGACCGGAGCATTGCGAATGGTCAAATGTAGCCATTGCTGTGCTGCGAGTCGTGGCGTTTCATCTGGATGACCTGCTGCTGTACAGCACAGATTGGGAAATTGAGTCATCGGATTTTGACAAGTTTGTAACGTAATCTAGAAATACCAGTCTTCTCGGTGCTAGTAGCAGCGTACTTGACGTGAATCTTCTCGTGATGCACAGTTGTTGCAGTTCATGAGGTAGGGCACCATCGGGGCACCACGATACTGAAGGTCTCTCGTTGCATGGACAAAGCCATGTCGTTGACTTTTTCGTAATCAGGAACACTGCGAAAAGGTCTGCAAGCTTAGACTGGAGCATCGCGGCCAGAAAGATACGTTCTGCATCGATTAACAACAATCGACATATATTTTTTGAGGAAGACAGGTTGGTTGCTTGCTCGCCGGCGCTTGGCTGCCGAGCCATGAACTGCAAAGCAGCACACCATTCACAATCAGTCAATGCGTGTTTTTATGGCGATGGCAGTGCAATTGATGCGGATAAACGAAAGCAGTGAAGCTGCTGCACCAGCGATCTGGCCACATGGGCATAGATGCGGTTAGTGTCTTGCTGAGCAAGTTGATGCGGAAGGTATGGCAAATGGGGCCTTGTTTTCTTGCCAGATATTTTATGTGCTTGAGTGAGGAGAAGGAACGATAGCGATACAGGTTATCCTCAATGCGACTGTCCAAGTCATAGGAGATTCGCATCGTGGACGTATGCTCGCCGAATGTACAGAGTTGACGTCAATGTTTGGGCTCTTGCTTATTGTTATTTACAGTCCTGCTATGAGCAAGTGATTGCCGCCGCTAACGAGAAGGAAAGAAGCCGTCTGACGCATCGATGCTTTGCTAGACCGACTGCAAGAATCTTTATGTACAAAACGAGACACCTCTAGACAGTGTGCAGTGCAAGCCGATGAAAGGAGAGAAGGTCATCAGCTTTTGCTAGTATCAGATCTGGTAGAGCGATTTAGAAATGCGCAAACCCTTGTTTTCTAGCCCATGTCAAAAACACGTGCACGCAACCACTTACACTTCCCATCACGAAAACTACGAGGGTAGCAATATCGCGGTAATTTATCTCGCGATCGCCCCTCAAAATCGACTTCAATTTGGTCCTCTCAACACAAAAGACAAAAAAAGCATTCGACGATACGCGGCGTTCCTACACTTGAACCTATAAATGTCGCCTCGATTGAACTGCACGCCAAAGCTGCGCCACCACATCGAGGAGCTCCTCCGTCGCGATACCGCCAGACACTTCCAGTCGGTGGACGAATGTGCGCTGCGTCGTCGTGTAGATGCCTACTACTTGCCCATGTTCCGCTGGACGATAGAGGTCGTGGAGGCTGCGCAGAAAAGAAGACTGGGCGAGGCCACACGCTGCGTGTGTATCGGTCTGAGCTGTCCACAAGGCGGAGGAAAGACGACAATGTCCATGTACATGCAAGAGGCGCTGGCGCTCGCTGGAATGAAATGTGCCGTCATGTCGCTGGACGATGTGTACTGGAAGCACGAGGACCAAGTGGCTCTGGCGAACGCCAATCCAGCCAATCCGCTGCTTCAAGTGCGTCGTGTGCTTTTGCTGGCGATGGTTCGAGCTCATCGACTAACGGAAAAGCTGTAGTATCGCGGCAATCCCGGCACAATGGACGTACCGCTGCTGATGGACACAATCTGGAAGTGTCAAACCTCCCAGAGCGAAGTGGCGCTACCCCGATATGACAAGTCCAAGCACAACGGCCGCGGTGATCGTGCCCCTCTTTCCGAGTGGGATCGCAAACGATGTGCGTAGCAGTTGGACATACAGACTGTGTCGTGGATTGACGTACTGACAGAATATGCTGATTGCATGCAGGTCCGTTGGATGTGCTACTGATTGAAGGCTGGTGCATGGGTTTCCAAGCGATCAAGACCTCCAGTCCCAAGCTGAGGTATAGGCCCTCGGTGCTGCAGACGTAGTTTCGGTCTTCAGCTCCTTGTTCATTGTCCGTGTACTGACATTCCTGTTGTCCTAGTGAGCACCTGAAGGTCGTGAATGACGAGTTGCACGCCTTTGGCAAAGTGTACGAGGAACTGGACGGCCTCATCGTGATCAAGATCGACGATCTCGACTGGGTATACGAGTACGTTTTCGTTCCGTCGTCTTTTTCTCGGAAGTTGGTCGTCCCATTCGACTAATGCAAGTGTTGAGTAGATGGCGTGAGCAGCCAGAACGGCTCCTGCGGGAAGCCAACAGACCAGCCCTGACGTCCGACGAAGTGCGCGACTTTGTGCATCGCTTCATGCCGGCGTACAAAACGTACCTCCCGGAGCTTTACGCCGACCCGAAAGACTCGTCGTCTCGTTTAGCTACGATTCCGCGGCTCGTGTTCTCCGTCTCAGCCACGCGGGAGCCAGTGGACGAGCCAATGGAGTTCAACTTTACGTCCAAGGCGTTACAAGAGGGTTTGCTTGTGCTTCACTGATCCTGTCGACGGCTTTCGAGTCGCACAAAACACTACCTTGTTCATCGCGTGGCTTACACGATAGAGTGTTACGGTGCTCTAATTGACGACCCTAGTTACCACTCCACCACCCATAGTAGAACGAACACACCACCCATGGTTGAACGCACAGCCAGCAGCTCTATTCGAGAAAAAGCGTCCAACCTTGAAGCCTGTCGGTCAGATTCATTCCTACCATTCATTATCTACCTCCTCTATCGTAGCGCTCTACCACTCGAGCCCATGGAGCGGTACCAGAAGCTCGAGAAGATTGGCGAAGGCACGTATGGCGTCGTGTACAAGGCCAAGGACCGCGTCACGGGCGAAGTGATTGCGCTCAAGAAGATCCGATTGGAAGCTGAAGACGAAGGCATCCCGAGCACTGCCATTCGCGAGATTTCCCTACTGAAGGAGCTCCAGCACTGCAACATTGTGCGCTTGTACAACATTGTGCACACTGAGCGGAAGCTGACGCTCGTGTTCGAGTACTTGGACCAAGACTTGAAAAAGTACTTGGACGTGTGCGAGAAAGGTCTGGAGAAGCCGATTCTCAAGTCGTTCTTGTACCAGCTGCTGCGTGGCATTGCCTACTGTCACCAGCATCGAGTGCTGCATCGGTTGGTAGTTTGTTCTCGCTGCACTGTTCGACAAGAGCGCCGTTTGACTAACAGGACTGACCACAACACCCCACTGCATTGTGTAATGTGTCACTAGCGATCTGAAACCGCAGAACCTGCTGATCAATCGCGAAGGAGAACTAAAGCTCGGCGACTTTGGCCTCGCACGGGCATTTGGCATTCCCGTGAGGAGCTACACGCACGAGGTCGTGACGCTCTGGTACCGTGCACCTGACGTGCTGATGGGATCACGGTCCGTTCTGCTATCGCGCGTTTCCAGCTGCAGACACAATGCCGCGTGTCTCCCTGTGTTGTGCTAGTCCGCTGATGATTGGATCTTGTTGGTCTTGGCAGGAAATACTCGACGCCTGTTGACATCTGGAGCGTGGGCTGCATCTTTGCAGAGATGGCCAACGGTGGCCCGCTGTTCGCAGGCACGTCGGAGGCGGACCAGCTTGACCGCATCTTTCGCCTGATGGGCACACCTACTGTGGAGATCTATCCGGCCATTGTGGATCTCCCAGACTACAGGGTACGAACATATTGTATGTCATTACGTCACCCTTCATCTGACCTCTGTCGTGCTGATGTGTCTGTCGGTAGCGAGACTTTCCTGTGTATCCTACACCGGACAGCTTGGCCCACCTCGTGCCAACACTGGATGAAGACGGTGTAGACCTGCTTGAGCAGATGCTGCAGTACGACCCAGCAAAGCGAGTCACTGCTGCTGATGCCATGCTCCACCCATATTTTAGCGACTTGTCTCCAGCGCTCACTGAGCATCGATGAAGCGAGATTCGAACGCCACAACTGGTTCAAGAACGAATAGTGCAGACCCACGAGGATGCTGGTGAATGAGCAGCTTCTTCCTACAGAGTGTGTGGATGAATCCATGTAGTAGTTTTTACCTGTCTTTGCTGTGTTCCGCTCCGATAGGCATCCCTGCTCCAGAGATTGCCACGGTCCTTGATCCGTGTGGGCGAGACGCGGTATCAAATGTGTCAAGGTCTTTCATGCGTTGCAAGTACGGCACTGATGTGCCATGACTTGCTCGACTGACTCAAGTCACCTGTGGGTGCGCTATCGCTTTGCATGCACACACATTATGCATACGTGAGTCGGACTCTTTGTGCCGTCTAACTTGTCAGCTCTATGCAGAAGCACAAAGTCCAGCATGGCACACGTCTGACTTGCAACTTCGCCCCCTCTATCCCTTGCAACGATCGGAACGTTGACGACGCATGCCGCAGATCCTTGCTGGTCTTGCTCTTGAAGGCCTGGCTGCAGCATTGCTCAACAAGCAGTCCTGGTAGAAGGCTCAAACATCGCGCAGCTCTTGCACGCGTTCTTTTGTGAGCTGATCACATTAAGCGCAGACAGTAAACGAGTAGTCGACACGCCGCATTTGCCTCACAAAGCAGGCGAGGCAGCGATGGGAGAAGCGCTGCCATCGAGCAGCTTTCCATTGTGTACAGCAATGTATACACTCTTGTGTGCTGATTGTAACTGAACAACTACGAGTCTCAAGCCGAAGTCAAGCTGGGAAGTGGGTTGCGTACAACAAAATGGTCGAAGCCGCACACTCGTATTGCGGAACAGTTGCCGACTTGTCTTGTCACACTGCGTGATGGTCCCAGCAGCTCGTTTGTGTCTGACGTGTCTGTCTGACCGTCTTCACGACCGCCAGTCGAAGCAGGTCATGCAGCGAAGGATTTGCGTCAAAAAGCGACTGTCACTTGCTTTGTCAACAGCCGTCGATGTAAGTCAATGAATGTCGAGGATGATGGGGATGCACCGAAGGGTATGACCGAAGCAAGTGTAGGTAGGCGCATAAAATGCCGACATAACTCCCTTTTCTCTGGCGCTTCGTCTGTGCGGATGCCGATTCGACGATTCCAGCGCGTCGTTTCGCGCGTTGTCTCGTTTGCTGCTGCTTCCCTGCGAAACTGCAGGTACTCGAAAATCTAAAGTTAACTGTTTGCCAGCAGCGGCTAAACCTGCAACTTTGGGCACGCGAGTGAGACGTCGAACGTCACTTGTTGCAGTGTTTGCCGATCGTGTCGAGCTTCTTATGTCGACACGTACTTCCACAGCAGGTGGTGGAAGCCATTCCATTCGCGACTACGACTGTGATAATCGACGTGAACGCTGCGTCAGATGGCAACAATTCGCAAGAATGGCAGGCAGCCCGCGTGACGAGAGCCATCTTCTACCACGACACTGCCGGTTTTGCCCCCCCCCCCCGTTCTCGAATCTCTGTCTCACCGAAGCTGGGCGGCTGACGCTAACGTATCGAGCAGGACAAAAGTTTTTCTTTGCGGAAGGAGATGTGCGCCGTCGCTTCTGCAGATCATAGCAGTCTCCGTATGACGAGTTGCTTCGTGCTATCTCGAGTGCTCTGTCGTCGTCGCCCAGCGTCTGTCGCCATTGCGAGAGGCAAGAGCTGCTACTGTTACTGCTGCTGCTGCTTCATCAACGCCATGGACTGTAGCAGACTGCCAACATTGGCGGCGCCTCTCATGCGAACGTAAGCATTCGGGCGGTACACGGCCTGAACGGGCCACGTTGCCACGCCACTACGCGATCCCTACAAACTCGACACACGGACGAGTGGCATGCAGTGGTTGCCACGCGACGCTCCTCATCGAAGCAGGAACGGATGCTGAGGTCTCTCTGTGCTGACTTGTCACACAGAGAGACAGATAGGCAGACAGACTTTGAGCCACCAGTCGTTGACGACGTCCTTCGACACAAAGTGTACCCAATCAGAGACACTCGTTTTCACAGCAGATGACGACGGTACAAGTACGATAGAAATCCGTTCTCTCGAGCGCCATGCAGGACACGCTGCTCGCGATTCTCCGCGGAGTCCGCAACGGCTCTGCCTACGGCACAAAAGTGCGCGCGCCGCACGGTAGGTCGCCCCCCTTAGTCAATTGTCTCCCTCTCCGCTCCTCCCCCCTGTGCTCGAGCCCCACCTGACACGATCTTTTCGTGTGCGTGACCAGCGCTGGTGATGATCTTTCTCTTCCAAAACGGTTCGCTCCGCCAGAAACTCCGCGGGATCGTCCGCTTGACCTTCGAGCACACGAAGAATCTGGCGCTCTTCGTGGGCGTGTACAAGTCAGTGCTGGCGATGTTACGCACGCTCGAGCAGCACGCACGAGGACTGTGTGTGGCCACGAACGTGGGGAAGCCAGGCGCACCGTGGCACGCGGCAGTGGCCGGCGGCATTGGCGGCTACCTGGTCTGGGGCCGCTACTCGGGCGTGAACTTCCAGATTGTCATGTACTTGATGTCGCGCGTGCTCATCAGCGTCGTGCGCGTGCTGGCGGCCAAGGGCTACGAGCCGTTGGCGCAGTACCGTTTCCAGCAGGTGTACCCGGTGCTCGCGACCGTCGTCTGGGCGAGCGTGATGTGGCTCTACGAGAACGAGCCGACTTCGCTGCACCCGTCTCTGCTCAAGAGCATGCAGTTCCTCTACGACGAGTCCTGCCACTGGAGCAACGGCGTCGCGGACTTCCTCCCGTCGGCGGCGACCACTGCTGTCTGTTTGCTGACATGGCTGCGGGTCTAGAAACAGGCAGGCGCGACGTGCAAATCGTCGTTGCGCTGCGACGAGTGCAGCAAAAAGATGCCGAGATGTCCCAAAAGTCCTGAAACACCTCTAAACTCACGTCTTTGCACGTCTGTCCTCATGCTGCATGTTGTGTGTATATTCAACGGCTCGCACGTGAGTGACGTGTGCGCGCCGTAGTCGCAGCTCGCGAGCGACCATCTCGCAGCACGGGATGGATTCTCGTGGGCCGATCCGGTCTGCGGTATGGAAACGCGTCAGCGACAGACGTCAGTCGCGTCTCAACTTCGCGCGGTTAGAAAAGGGCGACCAAAGCGACAAAGGGCTTGTCGCAGCACCAGTATATGTCTACTCGCAGGCAGTCGCCCACAAAGAAAATCCTGCGCAATCGGCGACACGCCCACTTTGTAGCAGTCCGAGTGAGTGAGTCCACAGGCGCTCCGGCTCTATGACCTATCGAGGAAACGAGGGCCGATGGTGCGGCTGCGGCTGTTAACAGCTAAAAGCAAGTCGGACAAAAACGATCCAGCGCCAGTCCGTCATTGCTGTTACGACTTGTCGGATGCTTTTTGTCCTCCCTGTACTATCGAATAGGTTGCAAAACCAAGTCGGCCTCCTCGCCGCGCTCGTCGCCAGGCTCCTGTCAAAACGCATGCTCTGTCACATCTGGTACAACCACCAGCAACCGCACGACAGGGACGCGCGCGCGCCACCGCGCAGCACCTTTTTCCGTCATGCGACGGCGAAATAACGTCAGTTTTTGTTCCGCCCCGCCGCACTTCTCTCGCTCGCTCACTCACTTGTCTCTCTCCCCATCGACTGGACCCGTTGCTGCTGCTGCTGCTGCTGCTGCAATAGCAGTAGTAGAGCCGCAGGAGGGCCAGTCGCCGTCGTCTCCAGTGTGTGATCGTTTTCATATCGCAGACTCGGGAGACCGCAGCCGTCTGATCTTTTTTTTGTCGCGGACGCGTTTTTTCACTCGCGATTTCTACTGAAACGCGCGACACGCGCCACGCAGGAAACAATTGGCAGAAGAGGGCGCTCACTGACGAGTGGCGCGACGGACGAACGGACAGACAGACAGACAGACAGACGGACGGACTGCTCAGAAGAGGACGAAGACGACGACAACGGAAGCGAAACGACAAACCGATTCACCGACACGACGGACAGCAGACGCCGCCACAGGGACAGCAAACAACGGCGTCACTGCGGCCGGGAGTTAACGCACGCGATGCAGACAGTGCGTGGCAACGTCCTGCGCGCCAGGAGCTTCACGCAGCAGCTGCCAGCGCCGCCGAAGCTGCGGACCTCAGACCCGGCGCAGCACTCGGTGTCGGGCTCGTCGTCCGTCTCGTTGCGCGAAGAGAGAGACAGGGACGACGTTGTGCAGCGGACGTCGAGTCGACGTCGACGTCGCGAGAGCACAGCAACGATCGGTGGCAGCGTACGACCGGAGGATCTGACCCGTGAGCACCGGAACAGCACTAGTTGTGCTGGTTGTGCTCGCAGTAGTAGTAGTAGTAGTAGCAGCAGCTGTACTACTACTACTACTGCTACTGCTGCTATGCGAGGTGCTTCGGCTCTGTCGCTCGTGAATGGCGTGCTGTCGTGGCTCATGGTGCGTACTGGCGCCTCTCCCACGAGGCTCGAGCAGCAGAACGAGGAGCTGAATCGAGGTGTCGATGATCTTTTGGTCGAGCAGAAACACAGTGCTTTCTGGCGACTCGTGCAACGCATTTTGGACCTCAATGACGTCGTGCTCATGATCCGAGTCCTGCTCGACTTTTTGCAGGACGACCTTGGCGCAGTAGCCGCTGCCGTCTTTCTCGTGGACCAAAATTCGCAGAGTATGTCTCGCATTACCCGAGGTGCACCGACTCTGTCTGGACTGGTGTCCTCGCGAGGACTGGTGGGCGACGTGCTGCAGACGCAGCAAGCACGGTTTCTCGAAGACTTTAGCTCGATAGAAGGGTACGACCCCGAGGTGGACTTGGCACATGAGTTTCCCGAGCAGAAGCTCCTTTGTGTGCCATTGATGGAGCGTGGCTCAGTGTATGCCATCGTTGAGGCAACGACTGCCCGCTCGACACAGCGTGTGATGGACGAGCTGCATGTGAAATTGTTGACGTGGTTAGGACCGCTTCTGAGCTCCTGCATGCGCAAATGTATCGAGTTTCACGACGTACTGCTGTCGGAGCGTACGCAGAAAGCTTTGCTTCACATTATTAGCTCATCAGATACGGAAGACACAGTGTTGAACCTCGTGGACGGTGTGATCGACGGAGCGTGCCATATTACCAAAGCTGAGAGCGTATCGCTATTTATGATTGACTGGGAGACCGAGGAACTTTGGTCGCTTTCGTCAAGCTACTACGACGAGACGCTTCGCGTTCCCCTTCGAGATAGTATGCTGGGTCTTGCCGCTACTACTCAGCAGACACTGAACGTCCAGGACCCCGAGGCGGACCCTCGCTACAACCAGTCGGTCGAACAGCGTCGTGGCATTCACACGCGCTGTGTGCTGTACGTTCCGGTCGGCATTCAGCGATCTTCACAAAATAACGAAATGTCTGCTGCTAGCAGTAGTCGACCTATTGCCGTGCTAGAGATCATCAACAAAGTGGAAGAGATGCCTGGTGGGCTGACAAGTGGAAGCTGTCCTGGATTTACTTTTGACGATGAGTGTGCTCTTGAGGCGTTTGCATGCGAGGTTGCAGTAATTCTACGTCGACGCAGTAACGAGATCGAATACATCAAGTTATTGGCGGACACGCGGGCGGAGCAGGTTCTAGCAAAACGTGCTCGCAGCCAGGTAAACCTGCTCGAATGCTACACGAGCTATGCGTCCGCAGCCCACGTACATCCTGAAGCATGTCTGCGTAACTCGTTCGTTCGAAGTAATCGGCACGTGGCAGGTTGTTCTGGATGTGCAGAAACTGCCAAGCTGAAGGATCAAGTTGACCTGCCTGCTTTGGCTACCGCTGTGATTGCCAAGAGTGAAGTGAGCGATTACGTCGAGCAGCGGTTTGGCAAGGTGATTCGTCACAAGAAGCAAAACTCTGGCCGACTGGGCTACGAGTTCGCCGGCAGCAACGATCATATCCCGTCCCAGTTATTATTCAGTGCGCCGCAAGGTTCGCGATTCCCGTCGTGGGATTTCAATGTTTTTACCACGGACCCGGCGGTTCTGCCGAAGCTCCTCGAAGAGATGTATCTGGATTTCAAGGTGGATGAAGTACTGCACACAACGAAGCACCGCCTGCAAAACTTCATTGTGGCCATGAAGGAACACTACCATCCGAATCCGTTCCACAACTTCTTGCACGCGTTTTCTGTCGTACACGCTTCCTATCTGCTGTTGAGCACAACTGATGCTGGCCAAATGCTACAGCCGCTGGATATCGCAGCTTGTCTCGTTGCATCACTTGGTCATGACGTAGACCATCCGGGGCACACAAACGACTTCGAGGTGAAGTCCGGTTCGCAGTTAGCAATGTTGTATTGCGACGAGTCCGTTCTCGAGCATCATCATGCTTACACGACTTTTCGCTTGATCTTGAAGGAGAAGAATGCAAACATTTTGCAGAATCTGAACCCTGCCGATTACCGTCATTTTCGCAAAATGGTGATCAACGCGATTCTAGGCACGGACATGGCAAACCATTTCAAGTTTCTAGAGGCAATCGAAAAGGTTCTACGACCTACTAGCCACCACGTTGACACAACTGCGATTTCATCAGCCAAGCGCGACAACTCGAATGCCTCGGCTATCGTAGCGGTGAGTGGCGGGTCGAAGCCAAGGCTGAACATTGCGACAGCAGACGATCAAGAAAAGGAGATTTTGAACGTGTTGCGCGACGCCGTCATGCAGCCTGACGGAAATGTACTAGTGACCTCTTGTGGTGACGCTGGTGGTTCTTCCCCGACTCCCTTCCACCAGGTCACCGGTGGAAAGAAGTGCACTTCGGCAAGTGGTCGATCAACAAATGGCGGCTGGATGTACAACGGCACTGTAGAAGACCGTTCGTTCCTCGTAAAAATGCTTGTACACGCGAGTGACTTGTCAGGGCAAGTGTTTCCGAAACCTATTGCTTTGAAATGGAGCAACATGATCTCGAAAGAGTTTGCGTATCAAGCGTTGATGGAGCAAGCTGAAAATATCCCGATCTCGTACCGAAACATCGATGACCCGTTGAAAATGGTCGAAGGTCAGCTCTTTTTCGCACAGAAGATCGTGTCGCCACTTTGGGACCTCATGTACATTATATTTCCGAGCATTGACGAGTGCATGCTGAATTTGCGGTCGAACGTCGCGCATTACGAGCAAGAGCTGCAACGGCTCAAGCAAGAACGCTTTGGAGAGAGTCTTGGTGCTGATCACACGCGAGAAGAGTGCGACGAGGAGGAGCAAAAGTGCACAGTAGAGGAAGCCCATGACAGGAAAGCACGTCGAGATTCTATGTGCAGCAGCGAGGATGAAGGCGTGGCGGTCCCCGGACTTGCCAGACACAACCCAGCAAAGTTCAACTCCTTTCGTACGATACCAGAGGACGACAGCAGCAGCAATAGTAACAGTGACGACAACGACGCAGACTTTGATGGTGAACCCAGTGTAGGAGCTAGCGCTCTCGCGGCAGCAGAGAGGTCTCGCAAGGCAGCTCGTTCAAGGTCGAATAGCATCAGCAGTAAAAGTAGCAGCGACTTCGACCTGGACGAACAGTCTCTCGTAGTTTATGAATAAAGCGCGTTGGCGCAAAGCTCGATTGTGTTTCCGTTGTCGAGTAAAATAATGCACATTGCCATTGCGCAGTTAAGTCATGCGTCGGTAGCATTTATAGCATCTAAGACTACTCATGGGCAGTATTCGTAGCGTGAAAGCGGATGGAGTGCATTCCGTCTCGCCGACATTCAACGCAGCGCTTTGTTTTGCCATCAACATGGTCCGAGCAGAAGTACCCTTCGCACCGCGAGCAGTTGGCGGCTTGCGAGAACAGGGCAAACACGGAGTGGCATTCGCGCGCGTTGCAATACCATTCTGGGCGATCGGGAAATCGTAGCAGAGGGCGTGTGGTTTGCCACACCGATAGCCCGCTGGGTCTTCGAGCATCAGGTGTTCCAAACTCGTGAGCCAATTGTGCAGGGTCGACTGCTTTCCAAGCAGTATCGTCAAAGCGCGGAGACCTCGACCACGACGTTGCTGCTGGTGAGCTTAACAATGCTGCCGAGCTCAGAAACTCGAAAGAAGTCAGCTCCGTCATACTGCGACTTGGTGTTACACCGACCTCACTGAACATTGTAGCACAAGATGAAGCCGTAGTCGACGTGCTTGACCCTCTGGATCGCAGGCCGAGCAGATGGAGGCCAGGCTCCTTTTCGCTCATGCCTTCCACGTCTTCATCACACATGTCGTGTCTCATCATTGCGGGTTCAGATAGCCGGCGGTCCATACTGCATCCTCGCAATCGACTGCCAGCGTTTGCGTTCGGGCACTGGTGCTTGAATATACAGAGACCATGCCGCGGTTTGCAACAGAATCGAAACGTGCAGTGGCCGCACACTGCTGTCTCAAGAGTCAGCACGTCAAACTTCGTGTTGCAGTACAGACACACTTCTTCTTTCTCCAGTACAAGACGTGCCGCCGTTGTATCACATCGTGCCCAGCGATGTGCCAACTCCAGCGGCGACGGCCTCCGCGTGCTGGTCTCCTGCGTTTGTGCGCCGTGGACAAGTAGTAGGCGTACTATGTCGGGCTGATTACGAATGACGCTAAAGTGTAGAGGCGTCAGACCAGCATCGTCTCGATTGTCCACGTCCGCGCTGCAATATTCGATGGCAAGGCAGGCAACCGACACGCGCCCATACCAGATCGCAAAGTGAAGAATCTCGTTAGCCAGCACGGTACTAGCAACGGCGCTGTGTTGACGGTGGACTACGTGAGCTTCCCATATTTGACGCACAAGCGTTCCATTTCCTGAGCGGACAGCTTCGACCATCTCGGGTGGTAGCGTCCGATGCAGTCCAAAGTCTCCTGTAAAGGAGACTGACTGCTTTTCACCATCAGAAGTAACGCGGCTGTCACTGCTTGTAGCACTATCATCGCTGCAAGAACGAGCTGCAGTACCCATTGTTCGGATAAAACTCTCGCGAGATACATACGTAGTCGTGTCCTCACGATGCATTCGGTCGTTCGGTCGATGCGCGAGGGCCTGTAGAATAACATGATACGGGTCTAGTTCTCGTACCAGAGGCTTGAACTCGCGCAAAAAGTCTTCGAACGTCATGCACATGAGCTTGGGCTCAAGCAGCTTCAGAATGGCGAGTCCTGCGCGTAAGAAAATGTCGTGCACGCCGACAAAGAAAAGGTCCAATATGGCGCACGCGAGGTCCGTCTTTGTCGACAGCGAAAAGAGCGTTGTGAACCACTCGATGCCGTACATGGCAACGACAAAGCCTTGGTCCACGAGATGTGCGTGGAGCCTCGGCAAGTCCCGAATGAACATCGTTTCAAAGTGCTGGAAGTATTCGTCCAAGAACATGGAGCTGTTGTGGTAAATCCCCGCTAGATGGCGCTTCTTGAGTATGTAGAGGAAAAGCGCATACGCGTCAGCTTCCGAGAGCCCTTCAACCAAGAAGAGCGCCGCAATAAAGTTCATGCCCTGACAATAGCCATCTTCAGCTTCGGCAATGGCGTTCAGGACTCGGAAAAGAGCGCTCTGCTGGGCTTCGACTTGGTCCGGGAGGTCGCTCCGCTCAAAGATGCTGAACGTGCGCGTGACGTCGCGTCCAATGGCGCCCGAGCGTTCGTACTCGGGCGCTGAAATGAGGTAATAAATCTCTCGATGACGTCGGACAAAGTCTCGCGGCAACACGCGCATGTGCGTCCAGTCAATGCCGTCCGTGAGCGACAGCAAAAGCTTCCGCTCGGATGGGTCCGTGAAGTTGAACTGCTTGACCACGTTCCGCCAAAACAGCTGGCGCTTTCGTGTGTCGGGTCCAGCGTTGTACGTCATCAGCTTCTGCCTTTACAAACTGCTGCGGGTCTCGTGGCCGTCGTTGCAGAACGAGCGCTGGCGATGTTTTCGCGGGCACTTACTCGCGAGTGGACGTGTGGTGGCCCTTGAGAACGTATGTGACTGGACTCGGTATTGTTTTCGTGTAAACTCGCGGTACTGACCGTAGTTTCCCGTTTTTTATTCGCCGGAATGAATAAGAAGTGCACAGACACACACACAACTCGGCGACCGCAGCGAAGCGGCACGTCAGGCACCGAACGACCAAACGAAGGGACCAACCACAGCTTTTGCTTCCCCCGTTCCTCCTACCGCCCTATCGGTCGCGCTGACCACACACAGCCCGAGCCGGCAGACGACCTGATTCCAGACCGTTCGTCCGTTTTCTCCCCCCCCCAACTTGAATCGGCGTTTCAAGCACACCCACCGTGCGCAACCCTACCGAGCTGCAAAAGTTGATATTGACCAATGAAATTAGATCGACGTTTGGATTGGTCGAAATCCATCCTCCGCGACACGAGGAATCAAAATGACGACGACGGGGACGTCTAAGCCCGTGGGCGATGAGGAAGCAGAGGCAGTGCGTCCGAAGCTGAAGCCGCAGGTGGTCCGCATTGAGGTGCTGGGCGACGAGAAGGTGGGCAAAACGTCGCTCATCTGCTCGCTCGTGTCTCGCCACTTCAGCGAGAAGGTGCCGAGCGTGTTGCTCAACGTGCAGATCCCGGCCGAAGAGAGCGACGAGAACGTGGTCATCTCGATCACCGACACGTCGTGTACGTATGCCGTGTGACTTGTACGGTCCTGTACTTTCTGCACTGTGCTGCATTGCATGTTCTTCCGCACAGTGTGGTGAGATGGGGTGAAACTAAGTGCTATGTATGTATGCATGCGTGCGATGGCTTGACCCTTGTCGCAGCTCGCGTGTCGGACTTGATACGCGTGACGAACGCGACGAAGCGCAGTGACGCCATTCTGCTAGTGTACGACTTGACGAGACCCGAGACGTTCCAGCGGCTACGACGGTGGCTGAATTTCATTGCGAAGAACAAGGAGATCCCAGTCGTGCTGGTTGCTAACAAAGTGGACATCAACGCGGTTACCTCCACGAAAGATGGAACCTATGCGAGCCAAGTCCAGCACCTGGTCAACACGTACCCGGTGCGTGTGACTTCCGTAATGTTATGTTATTGATGTGCAGGGAGTGAAAGTGACAGGGTGAGGAGATGGAAGATACTGACGCTGATATACTTAGTTTGTGGTGTCTGAAGTGGAGTGCTCGGCCAAGAACTTCACGCAAGTCGCACAAGCCTTCTTTTTGGCACAGAAGGCGGTGATATATCCGGTTGCACCTCTTTACAATGAAAAGAAGCGCGTACGTTGTGATCAAAGTCGGAGATGGAAGTTATTGTTGTGATTTTTCTGAAGATTGTGCTTGCTGATTTGGTAAACAACTGTACGAATTGCAGCAATTGCAGCCCAAGTGTCTTAAGGCGATCAAGCGGATATTCCGTCTGTATAACCGCGACCGAAGCGGGATTCTGAGTCGAGAGGAGCTGAATGAGTACCAGTATGACTGTTTTGGTGTGCGTCTTGTTTCTTCGGAGATCGATACATTGATGGAATACCTTTTGTCCGAAGTACCGTCCGGAGTCGCACCCGATCGTAGTGGACTGCTTGTAGACGGCTTTATCTACCTGTGGTGGCTATTTATTGACCGCAACCGGCCGGAATCAGGCTGGCAGGTGTTGCGAAGTTTAGGATACAACAACGAGCTGCACCTTGAGATCCCTCCTGAGCGTCTGCAGCTACCTTTGTATGAAGAGGACCAGTCTGCGCAGCTTACTCCTGCAGCTGTCGAGTTCCTGACGAACCTGTTTCGTCAATTTGATGTGAACAAGGACAACAACATTGCGGAGAGTGAGGTTGAAGCTATTTTCTCAATTTGCGAGGATGAGAGTGCGCCATGGACAACTTGCTCGGCCATTTCGTCGCCGCTACTTTTTGAGCAAACCGTGGTAGATGGCAAGCCTATGCTTTCGCTTGCAGCGTGGCTGGCTTGCTGGAGCTTTGTGGCTCAGAAGAACCCGCAGAAGCTTCTTGAAACGTTGTTTTACCTAGGGTACAACGACAAACTTTTCCCAGCCATCGATTTTATCCGGTATGTGCTACCGCAATTGTGATGCTTGGTTAAGTCTGACTCTTGCGCTCGTCGATCGACCTTTTTTGTGTAGAAAACGCAGTACGACGCGCAATGCGGCAAGAATCGAACGTAACGTGATTTCATGCTACATATTCGGCTCGCCGAGCTCTGGAAAGGATCACTTTGTTCGCACGTTCGCTGGACGCAACGAAGCACCTTGTGCCGATGACGAGCAATCCATTCTTCGGGGCATTGGGGCTGTTCCAGACCGAGACACGACGAAGTTTTTGTTTGTACGTTGATGCTCACTCGTGTCTTGTGGGGAAGAGACGCAACTAACGTGTGTGTTGGAAAATACCTGTGTTGCGTGCAATGTGTAGATCACTGAAGCGTTGTCAGACGATGAGATTGAGACAAAAGCAGATGTTTTGCTGCTGGTATTGAACCCCGAAGACGAGCCGAGCAAAGTGTTTGTGGAGGAGCTGGACAAGAAGCTGCCTGGATCAATTCCGCGTGTGGTTATCAGCTACAAGCCGAAGGTTCGCAAAACGGACGTGGAGGATAGCAAGAAAGGCGCCGATGAAAGCCATGCGTTGATACCAGATGAGCCAGCCGATTTTGCAATCGACGCAACGTTGAAGCAGTACTCGACGGCCCTCGAGTGTTACGAACCACACTGTGTGAAGGGCGAGGTCGCTCGTGTCCTTGTGGCTACTGCCTTGCGACCGTACGTGCAGAGTCTTGCTGTTTTGTGAAAAGGATGGTTATTTTGCGCATGGTAACTTATGATTTGTGTGAATGTGGCGTGTGTGCACGCAGACCAAACAACGCGCGTTCCAAGTCTTCCGGGATCTGGTTGTCCGGTCGGAAGACGGTCTTGAGTACACTCGGATTGGCTGCCGTCGTGGCAGTTGCTTTTGTTGCAAAGCCTGAAGAGAGCAAGGCTATCGTGAAGAACGTGGTCTCGAAACTGCGGCGTTGACGTGTTAGTGCATGTAGCTATTGCGAGGCAGTGTAAAAACAGGGCCGGAGCCGCTTTTGTTTATGTCGGACAAGTCTCTTGGCTCGGTTGCAGTTGCAGTTGCGGAAACGACTTGATTAGTCATTGATTTGGCTTCGACCTTTTATTGGCGGCTGCGAGAGCGGACACCGACGGGATTGGTCAAGACACTGTCGTTTTGGGTGGGACGCCATTATACTTATCTTGAAGAGAAAAAATAGCATGTAGCTTGAAGCACGTGCTTAGGCAATCAGTTTTGACATTCAGTGGATGAGGTTGGAAAACGTGCAGATCGCAGCCAATACATCCCGATTCGCCATAAACGATGGCCTATTCACACACTCATTTATTGATCATATTCGTTATCTTAGCCATGACGAAAAAACAATATTTTGCACTATTGATACACTGGCTCAAGAGACATCGAGGTTCTCCTACGTATCCGTTTGCTTCAACCTGTGCTCTCCTCGCTGGAATATTCCATTTCGTTCTCTGCCGAAAGACGACAAAAGAACGTCACTCTGTGACCTTGCCGTGGACGAAAGATGCAGGATCGTCGACAAAAGCTCCTACAAGCAACGGAACGAAAACAAAAGAGATTCTACCAACTATCGCGTAGAAGTATACCGACAGAGACGACATGCGAAGAAGGTAGAAAGGGAAATAGATTTGTACGTCTTGCGTTGAATAGCCTGTTTGAATTGTCGAAACCTGTTATCGATGCAATCTAACGAACTTTGTAGATATGCTGATGCTCGATTATCTTTTGCGCAAGTATCCGGCTTATCGCTCACAGATGAGCATGGGAGTATTCTGGTCTGAAGAAGCGACGCAACGAACGAGTCCCATTCTCATGCCGAAGTCCACGCTATGCAATTCTATCTATCCAAAAGCAAAATGACGATCGTGTAAAACGTGCGCGTTTTAAGGTGCGGGAAAAAATCGCGAAACCTATGCGCTTTTAGATACCAGTTCTGCAGTTTTTAGTATGTACATCACTGCATGAGTGTGATGCTTGACATTGTGTGCCTGTGTCCTGTCGTTGTTGATTTTAACTGTGCTTCGTGGTCTTCGTCCAAAAAAAAAGCTACACGTTACGTATCTCAATCGCTCACGCCGGCAGGGTGGTGTAATATCGACAAGAAGCCCCAGCATCGTGCTAAGCGATATGCTGAGCAATCATACGCTTCCTACAACCACGTCAACGCTTTTCTGTCCAGTCGAATAACTGTGTCCCGACCAAAAATAGCGCTGTCCGGAACAAAAAACGTCAATGTCCGGGTATTCGTGACCTTTTTCTCAATTGGCTGTTGATTTCTCTACGTTTCGCTTTGGCATATCAGCAGTAAAAAAACAACTCGCGCCTTGCCGAGCACATCGTTTCTCGCACGCCGCCAGCTCTGCAATAAACAACTTGCTCGTTCGTTTAGTACGATCTGTCGATCCTCTGCAAACGCACATAGTCGCGATCGTCGCCGAGCAAACGAGGAAAAAAAGAACACTCGGCAATGAACTGACTGCCTGTGTTTCCGTCATCCATTCGCTCGCTCAGTGAGTCGCTTGCCCCGATTACGTCCCCCCGTCACCTCTCCGTGCCACGATTACGGTACACGAGAGTGAACCCACCACAGCGACTCCATAGCCAAACGTCAACACCCGCTCGTGTCTCGGCGAGTGCCATTTCTCAACTTGCGCTCTCGCGCGCACGAGCCACTGGGCAACACCAGAGCCACATGGAACAAAACGGACCGCCGCCGCTGCTCGTCCGCCGCAAGCGACACGTCGGGCCGCGACTCGTCGCTGAGGCAGACGACCGGGACGAGCCGTTCATCAGTGTCCCCGTGGAGCACATGAGCGCGCGCGCTGTGTTTCTGCTCACGATGGCCGTCACGTCGTTCGCGGCCTTTACGCTCTTTAGCCTCGCGGAGCTCACGCACCACCACCCGACGTTCGTGCTGGCCAACGTCCTGCAAGGCGACACGCACGCGGCCGCGCAGTGGCTGTTGCTGCTGACGATCCCCGCGACGAGTGCAGCCGCGTGGTTCCCCATCTCAATCTCCCACGCACCGAGCGGGAAGCTGCGCATCACGTCGGCCGTACCGCCGCCACTGTCGCCTGCTGTCGCACCGTCTCGAAGAGCGCCGTCGTCGGCTTTCACGCGACTCGTGCAGCGCTTTCGGCACAACCACATGTTTGCCATCTACCAGAGCGTCGGGTGGACGCTCTTTGGACTGGTAGTCGCGCTACAGCTCACTTGCTTTGGATCGTATAAAGTCCGCGACCTGCTGTTCTGCAAGCCTGGCAGCCGGTCGGTCCAGGCCGTGGTGGCGTTCATTGCCGAAGTGCTGATCATTTCGTCCGTGTTGACGCTGGAGAAACGACGAGATCGGAACTGCCAGCGACGGAAAGACCGGTTCGTGGTGCAGCTCAACAACTTTAACAATATGCTGTTGCTGGTAGGCGCCACGCTGCTGGCGCTGGCGTCGGAGTATACGCGCGTGTACCCGCACCCGTCGGGTAGCAGTGGCGGGTACCCCATGACGACAGGTCTCGGGTCACTCGCTCTCTTTGTTACGGCACTGCTCAACACGTATGGCCTGGGTGGTGTCTTGTCAACAAAGGACGGCTGGAGTTTTTACCAGCCTTTTATGGGTGGTGTGCGTTTCGTGCTATTCCAGATTGTGTCATGGACGTGCTTTGGCGCGGGTGCGGCACTGCAGATGTTGTATCTACTTTCGTTGGTCGTGGTAGAGCTGGAACCGTTCGTGGGCGCGATGGCTGTTGCGGGGTCGTTGTTTGTACTGGCAGAGATTGGCATGATGATGTCGTTGCTGGTGTTTCGGAAGTCAGGGCTTTCGCCTGTGGCTTCCGCTGCTACGTTATCGGAGACGGTCTCTTTCGGTGGAAGGAATTTGTTTCCAAAGCCTGAGGCTTTGTCCGAAAAGAGTGTTGAGGAGCAGTCCGTCGCGGCAGGTTCTTTCGGATACTTTTTGGCACTTCATGACCGCGTGCGAAGCTTTGCCGACGAGTGTCTGGGGGTTCTCGTGGTGGGGTTTCTGGCCAACATCCAGTTCATTCCCAACGCTCTTTGTGTCGTCTTGTTCGCTGCAACCACAAACTTAAGTCCCGCTGGCGTCGCGTTCTACGGTCTCATGGTGACGTGTGGGGAGTTTGTCATGGTCTTGTCTCGCTTACTTGCCACTCAATTGTACTTGATCGACTCGCGCAACGGTCTGTTGAAAGAAGTCAACCGCTACCATGTGAAGTATGTGCTGCCCCAACTTATCGCCGCCTGTATTCCGGCCTTGGGTACGTACCACCACTACATCCACGACATGGACGCCTTCGTACCAGTATGTATCCTCACGATCTTCATTTACTTGTACGAGTTCACGTACCGGGGTAACCCGCAGCAAACAGGCTGCCGTGAGCGGGCGAGCTGGATTACAGGCCGTAGCTTCCTCGTTGACACCGTCAGGCGATACTTTAGCGGAAGCATTATCCGGATGGCTCCATTGGATTCGAAGAAGCAATACATCCTGGGCTTTCACCCTCACGGCATCTACCCCATATCCGTGATGTGGCTCCAGCTCACGGCACAATGGAGACGCCTGTTTCCAAACTTTCACGCGCATATTTTGACGGCGAGTATTCTGCATCAAATCCCGCTCGCCCGAGACTTGCTGCATTTTTACGGGTCGCGTGAAGTCACTCGACAGGCGTTCACGCACACGTTGCAGCAGAAAGAGAGCGTGCTGCTTGTACCTGGCGGTCAAGCTGAGATGCTGCTGCAACAGTCCGCGAAGAACGAGGTACGCGTGTACACGCACCACAAAGGCTTCATCCGCCTTGCTATCGAACACGGCGTGCCACTCGTGCCCGTGTTGAGTTTCAAGGAAGGCGAGATGATGGACAACATCCAGGCTCCCGCGATGCAGCGCTGGTTTGTCAAGAAACTTGCTCTTCCGTTTCCGTACTTCCCGTACGGCCGTGCGCTGCTGCCGATCCCGCGCAAGGTTGATATTCCGATTGTAGTTGGGGAACCTCTCGAGGTGCCGCACATTGCAAAGCCCACACAAGACGACATTGACAAAGTCCACGCTACCTATTATTCCGTGCTTCAAAACATGTTTGACAAGTACAAGGACGAGGTCGGATGTGGCGACTACAAGCTCGTGTTGATCTAGAGCGCTTGGAGCAGCGAAAATGATGCAGTTGGGTCTCAGTCCGGTTGTAGTATCCATTCATCGATATTTGGTACCGAAGGACAGATTTGAGGCATGTGTCAGAATACAGTGCGTTCCATGTTGTGTTTATCCTGCCACGTGTCCGGGCGTCTTGCAAGTCGAAACTGAGAGCTGACACGCAAATACAATGCACAAGAGAGCGAGCAAAATGTATTAAACAACTTCACGATGCAGATATGTACAAAACATTTCTGAAAATGCAATCAAATGTTCGATATTTGCTCGAAATCGAGATATGATCTGACCAAAACCTGCAACAAAGCCAGCACGCCCTTTCAATAAGTCGCCACTTCGGTGGACATAACAAAATAGTCTTGCGAAGGGCTAAACGCACCAATTTTATCGTGGCCATTTACACAAACTGCATTCGTTTTGATTGATCAAAACGCGGACCACAGCGAGCAAAGACAACATCACCCTTACTTACACCACGCCATGAACACACAACACAAGATAGAGCCAACCCCCAGATTCCTAATCTTTATGCTACTGACACTTTTATTTACCTCCAGCCTGCAGAATAGATCTGTAACGGGGCAGCCCGTTACATGAAATTGTCACTTTAAGGAAAGTGACAATAAAGAATATAAAGATGGATATTCTTTAAAACAATATCACCAAAGTGGTGATATTGAAGGGTCGACCAAAGGGTCTGTTCATTGGTTGATATCGTGATGATATCAACCCACCAATCGCCGCAAGACGCGCGCAATGAGTGGTGACGAGACATCACCATACATGCAGTTATATTAGTATAATTGAATTAAGTCAAACGAAGAGACAGTAGTTTAAAGACTTAATTTATTAATATAACAGTTCTACTTTTACCCTACCTACGCTTCCTCGCTTGCCACGTGTACGTCTGTCGGGGCACTCAAAACCCTTGCGTTAAGTTACGCAAGGGTGTGCCCCGTTACACCTGGTAGCACTTTGTAGTCCTTCCAAGGACCACATCATCCAACATGAACATGTTGGATGAAGAAGACACCTTTCACGCCACGCGTGAAGGGTTTACCCATTTGAGTGACATCGAATGGGGTGCGGTAGAACGAATGAGTTCTACCGTAGGCGAACTCGTCGTCAGCACCATGTTGGAGTCTCTAGACAGAGACCAACAACATGCCGCTATCGCCAAGTTCATTCAGAATGAACTTGCTCTCGAGAGGGAGAAAGTAGCCTTGCTTCACCAGCAAGGCTCTCAACAGGCCGAAAAGTTGAGAGAACTCGGTGCTCAACAGACGGAGCAGTTGAGAGAACTCGGTGCTCAACAGACGGAGCTGTTGAGACAGCAGCAATTCCATGCTGCTGTGGGCGGGACGGCGCATGCGCGTCGTCCCGAAGTAATGAAAGTCGACATCTCCAAGTACAGTGGAGTCCCGGAGGACTCCCTGTTACTATGGTTTGTCGAACTCGACAGAGCCCTAAGGGCTCGTCGCGTCGAAGATGAGCAAATGAAACTCACATTTGCTCAGACCCACTTGGCAGGGCGTGCCAAAACTTGGTCCCTGGGACTCGAGAGTAGCGACCCAAATGTGTTTAGGTCGCTAGATGACTTCAAGTCCCGGCTCAGACAAACATTTGAGCCGCCACGTGCTGAGTTCAGGGCTCGCTCAGAGCTCCTGAAACTCAAGCAGGGTAAGCGTGATGTGCACGCTTACGCACAACATATACGACTCCTTGCGAGTAGCATAACTGCCAACCCAGTACATGAACACACGTTGATTACGGTGTTCATGCAAGGGCTCGCAGAAGGGCCCGTCAGGAGCCACCTGTTCCGCCTTGAGCTGAATACGCTGGAAGAAGCGATATCAGCCGCGGAACAGGAAGACTTTAGCATGAGACAGGCTCATGCTAGCTCAAACTCTTACCGTCCACCGAGACGACAAGAGATCGGAGGTCCAGAACCAATGGACCTCTGCTATGTTGAGAGCGAGAGACCTCGCTCTACAAACAACAAGCGATTGCAGAGGTGCAATCGCTGTCAGAAGTCAGGGCACTACGCATACGAGTGTAGTGCTCCACGCCCAGTACCAAACAGTACTGAGCGAAATGGACGATCATTTGACAGAAAGGGCAATGGGCGTGGGTCCAGCGCTGTTGCGGCTTCGCAACAGCGAGACGGACCATCAAAAAATGGTCGGGGTCAGTAGGGGCGGAGCGCCCTACTGATCCAGCAACCTCAAGAGAATTTGCAAATCTCTTGACGAAAGTTGCTCCAGATACACAATCATTGTGTGTCTCTGCACCTGGTGATGACGTTTCGCTCATCACCTTGAAGTTGTAAGCGACAAATGATTTGCCGCTTCGTGCTCTAGTAGACTGTGGGGCGTCGAACAACTTTGTTCGTCGCCAGTCACTAGAGGGTCGTAGGCTCAAGTTCGTTGAGCGCGACATTCCCCTCACAAGGATGACGGTGCGCCTTACAACAGGCGCATCGATAACCGTTGAGAAACGTGTAGTAGGAATCCACTACACGTTAGAGGGCGAACAGTACGATGATGACTTCATCGTACTAGATCTGGATGACAAATTTGATGTCATCCTGGGATTACCTTGGCTCAGAAAGTACGAGCCAAGAGTGAGCTGGCAGCATCGATCCGTGAAGATGCCTGCTGCTTGTTCATCAGATGGACATCTGATGAACATCTTGGAGCGTCCACAAGCGTGTGGATGCTCTGCGAGTGAGTGCGATGGCCTCACTTGCGGTACGGTCGTTAGCACGACTGCACAAGATCACAGTGTAGTTGATCACTACACTGTGGAGCAAGCTCCCGGCGGCTGTACAGAAGTACAGGCTGCGCCGAAGGTCCACCACTCGAATAAGTCGAGTGGACCGGGACATGGATGCATGCCTAGCGGGCAGCATCTTAGAAGAAAGAAGTCTGTTGCCCCCAAGGGGCAACATGAAAATCCTAGGTCGACTGGAGAGTCGACCGTAGAGGATCGGTTCCTGACTGTGGTTGCACAGCCACAGTCGGAAGACGTCGAGGGAATAAGTCCCCACGTACTTGAGGAAGGAATTCCTCAAGAGTCGCTTGCTGAGGGATTAGGCCCTCAGCAACCTGTGGAAGCAAGTTCCCAGGAAGAAACCGAGACGTTGAACGTCTTGGTTAATGACGGATCAAGCGTAGGCGCTTATACGCTTGATCTGATTGTGCCTCCGAAGTTGACTTCGGAGATAACTCAGTTGCCAACGCTAGAACCGAAACGGTTCTTGCGTGATCTGCGTAGTGGCAAAGTCAAGCAGATCTGCATACTCGTCACAGAGGACGAGTATGTGACCGACATTCGGTCGGCAACAGTATTTGCTGAGAACGAACGGGTTCTCAGCAGCTCATCGATGGACGAAAGTGTCCTCGATGAGAAGACTCGGATTGAGCGATACGCGTCCCAATCCTGAGAGTCACTTCAGGCAAATCCTTTGTATAAGGATTTGATCGAATTCAGGGATGTGTTCCCTGAATCCGTACCTTGCGAGTTGCCTAAGGACAAAGGCACTCGACACGAGATCGAGCTCAAACCGGGCTCGAAATACTGTGTCATGAAGCAGTGGCCACTGCCTCGTGAACAAGTGATAGCGATCGACAAGTTCTTTGCCGATCGCTTAGCAGCGGGCCATGTGAGGGAATCAACATCCCCTCACAGCTCTCCGACCTTCTGTGTGCGAAAGGCCACAGGAGGGTGGCGGATAGTGCACGCATTCAACAAATTGAATGCTGCAACGGTACCGGCTCAGACGCCGATACCGAGGAAGGACGTAATCATAGATGGTATGTCAAAGAGTACCATCTTTTCGTCCATGGATCTGATGGATGGATTCTATCAGATCCTAATGCGTGAACGGGACGTCCCGTTCACGGCAGTGAGTACCCCCAGCGGGATGCTGTGGGAGTGGCTAGTGATGCCACAGGGGCTGAGTAATGCCCCTGCAACATTCAACAGATGTGTAACAAATCTGTTGAGACCGGTGCGAGACTTCGCACCGAGTTACTTCGACGATGTGTTCGTCCATAGCCGGGCTATGGACGGAAAGACGGACGTTGAAGTTCACAGAACTCACGTTCGTCAGGTTCTTCAACTTATGCGCAAGCATAAGTTGTACGCCAACCTCAAGAAGTGTATATTCGCGGCTAGCGAAATACCACTTCTTGGGTGCATCGTGGGTAAACACGGCGTACGCCCTGATCCCGAAAAGATCAAGGCGATCACCGACTGGCCAGTGCCAGTCGATGTCAAGGGACTAAGGAAGTTCCTTGGTCTTGCGGCGTACTTGCACAAGTACTCGCGCAACTACGCCGAGATGACTGTTCATCTTTCTTGCTTGCTCAAGAAAAATGTCAAGTGGTCATGGAACGCTGAGTGCCAGCGTTCCTTTGAAGGTATCAAGCGGAGCTTGATGCAATCGCCGATCTTGGCGATTGCAGATCAGGACAGACCATTTCATGTGGTCTGTGACGCCAGCGATTTTGCAATCGGCTGTGCGTTAATGCAGTTCGATGCAGATGGCGCGGAGCGCGTCATCTGTTATCAGTCGCGTCAGCTGCAAGCAGCTGAGCGTAATTACCCAGTGCATGACAAGGAACTCCTTGCCATGAAATACGCACTGGCTAAGTTTCGCGTCTATCTCTTGGGAGATAGACCGTTTGTTGTCTACACGGACCATGCGTCATTACGCACGGCCGTAAACAGCCCACACCTCTCGCAAAGAATGGCGAGGTGGCTGTCTTTCTTCGCGGAGTATAACTTCTCCGTGGAGTATAAACCGGGACGACTCAATGTCGTCGCGGATGCTCTTTCGCGCCGGCCCGATTTCGAGCCGGACGCACAATCCAACAGTGAGGATAAGCCCACTGTTGCGACACTGTCAGTCAGTGTCCCGTCGTCAAGTTTACTTGACGACGTACGAAAGGCATACGCGGAAGATAAGGATCTTCTGCGAT